GGTCAAACGGCTTGGCCCCAAATACCAAGACTATAACATCTCCCCCACAGATTATTCCGAAACAACGGCCAATTGTTAAAGAATGAGAACAAAAGAACTGGAATCTCCCATTACAATTCTATGACCTACATAAAGTTTATTTGTACTAACTAGGACACTGATTAAACCATCTTTGGTCAAATTAAAGCAAAATAAAGATGACAACAAGAGGGAGAAGAAAATCACATTACATAAATAGAGGGCAACTAACATAACAGGAGAACGTTAAGTTATAAAATAAGCATAGCACAGCAACTAAGGTCAACATATTTGCATCTTTATCTTCATTTCTGTAGCATTATGCCTATCAGAGGCACCAAAACTCAATTAAAATGATGCAGATGGAAAGTACAAACCAAGAAGTTTCCACAGAGATGCTGACCTCAGACATCCAAAGGCTTGGGTTTTTACAACAACAACAAAAAAATATTTTGCTTTTCAAGGGCTCATTATCCTCATGACAAAACAGAACATAAATTGCCATGGCTATGATTGTGATAAAGACAAGACTAACAGATAATAAGATTGTTGACCATTATGTATCTATTTTTCCAGCTCCTAAACAACAAAATAATGGGTTGAAAAGTTTAAGATGACAATATAAAAGAAGTCAAAGACGTTCCTACAGGAGCAATCTCCCTTTTAACACAAATTGAAAGAACACAACACCCACCGGCACAGACATTTGCATATCAATAATTAAGTTTTAATTAAGTAATGGCCATTAGGATGAAGGTACTGTTCCAGATTAAATGTGTGTCACTCAGCAGAGCCTCAGGCAGTGAATTTCCCTTATATTCCAGTTAAACATCGTTTTAAAACTTAACTGCTCCATTCATTCTAGATATTTAAGGGTGTGTGGTCCTTTTATTTTCGACCTCATTAGCACCATTTCAAAATTTATAAGCTCATTCATTTTTAAATATTTGTCTTGTGGTATAATGTAACAGAAGCCATCTGGTTTACCAGTAATTTTGTAGCAAAGGAAAAAGGAAACCAAATGGTGAAAGACTAACAAGCAGCTTGGTTCAAGGGAAATTAAAATGGTCGATGACTTGAATTAAAAAATTCAAGAGGCTCACTTTGAAGAAACAGACAAAAAACTCCAAATACAAGGGAAATTTGATTTGGTAAGCACGGCACTTATCCAAGTCCCATGAAACTACAAACTGAGTGAGATGGCTGGTTTAGCAAGAGTTGCAAACAAAGAACCCCATCAAGTAACCCTCTTTTACCTCACAATGTTACCCACAAACTGGCAAAAAGTCTTCTCCTAGGAATGCCAGAAATATCTAGCCAGCACATATACATATACCAGAAAGAACAAAGTAAGAGTGAAAGAGAAGATGAGAGGGGGGGAGATGCTGTGATTGTTTCATGGGGAGACTTGGATGGAGCTAGTTTACATTTCCCACAGTAGGAGTGTGATTGTGTTTCTGCAGTGCAAACATTTAATTTGAAGATGCAGTGAGAATATATATTGTGTGGCAAATAATGAAAACAAAGTTAAACCCATCTAAACAGACATATCAAATGAGTGCTCAAATTCATAACCACTATTCACTACCCATTGCTCTATTCTCAGAATTAGACATTTCATTCCAGACTGAATTCAGAGTCAGTGCAGAAACACAGTGTGCACACAAACCACACCCTGTAGTCCTGTTTGTCTAAAACACCACATGTCCAACAAAAGGGAGTCTAAACAGCCTTGTAAACTGAAATTACCACATAAATACATAGAATTAAGCGCATAATTAAACCGTAAATCACATAAGACCAGTCATATCCACATTAACTGGCTGACTGCATTTACAATACTTACAATTGATGAGCTTGAATATGTAATCATCTGCAACAAACACTGTTTAACTCTCTGCAAAACAAGTTTCCCACACTTTTTGGCCAATGACTTCCAGTCGTTTGTGATCACAAAGTGATCTAATTGATAAGATTTTAGATCTGAGCAATATTAAGAAAATTCAATTACTCATTTAAAAATGTTAAGTATCATTTAATATTTCTAAACTTTCTATAGCATTTTACCAAATTTACAATTTTTTTTCATAAAGATTAAATAGTATTATTAATGAGCTGGGAAAAGAAGGTACTTTTGTAAGGGGATGGGAAAGAAATAAAACTGATCAATCCTAATCATTATCAGAATCACATGACTAAATATAGATATAAAAGTGAGATATATGAAAGGAACGAACAAGAGACTGAAGACATAATTGGTAATGCAGCTAACTTGGATCATAAAATCCATTTAACTCAAGTGAAGATACCAATTATCACTCCCAGAGAGTAGCATCAACAAAAAGAGCACTGTTGAGCCTATACTCTGGTAAAGCCTAATCTAAGCAGTCTTTCAGGGAGTCTGGCTCACAAAGCGACAGAAACTTGAGCCAATAACCACCAGACAAACCAGAGACCATTCACTGCAAAAAGCATGCAGTCATTGATATTTGTATGGCATATCCACTAAATGGTGTGCAGAACACAAAGCACTTCTCAGATGTTACTTCATCCAGATCTATGCAGGAAATCTGCCTTATTGATACCTTAAAGCCACATCAAGAGTTGTGCAATCATGCACTTCCAGCATTTAAATTTTCCATTCAAATACAGTCAAATGTCCAAGCTCAAATCTCCAAAAGCTGCTTTACCTGTTAGTTTTGGGAGCTGCAGTGGTTTTGGCTGTGGCTGAAGTTCTGGGTTTGGCTGCAGGGGCAGCAGCTGGCCTTGGAGCAGGAGCTGAGAAAATGAAATTGAAATAAATCATGTTCCAAAGTAAAAACTGACTGGGATTGCTCAAGAAAATAGTGGTAAAATATAACGATGAAAAATATAACGATTTTTATTTTACATAATGACGACGCCTCAGTTCTAATGGCAACATGGAGCGCGAGTGAGCGTAATGACCCCTTCCTCTTTATTACTATTTTTAATGTGAAATATACATGAATGAACATTTCATCCCTCACGTAATCGCTCAATTAGTGTTTCAACTGTGGAAAGACATCATTAAAACGGCTTGTAAACAAAATGTCACCTAGCATTTTATTTTCCTCAGGCAAGTCATCAGTGTCTACAGCTCGTTATTTGCTAGAGAAATGAAGTCTAGCGAAGAGCTTTTTGCGAAATATTAGACTATAGGCCTACTTCATTATATTTATTAACCTGTTAGTGATGTCTTAATTATTTAATGTATATGTTTAAATATTTTATGAAACAAGTTGACTCTGTAAATTATTATATTTCAACAACGTAGAAATTGTATAATTTAGAAGTTAATTTAAAAACAATTTACATGTTTGCATACAAATTTTTAATTTGTGTTGATTATTATAGTTAAAAATAAATAGTAACTGAATTATGTTTGGGCTCTGCTGTTAACTGTAACCATATAGTAATGTAAAAGGATTCCCTATAGAGCAGACACTGAGGTAGATTTTTATCCCTAAAAAAAAAAAAATTATAATTGAATTTATTTAAAGAAAGAGCAATTTGTTCAGTAAACCATTGTTTCATTTAAAAAAAATCAAATTATGTTTAGTTTTTTCCTCCTGCTTTACCGAAACCATACCGAACAGTGACGTCAAAACCAGGTATGTACCAAACCGTCATGCTTGTGTGCCGTTACACCCCTAATTAGTAAATGTCCAAATCCAATCTTAGAAGTACCAGAACTAAACTCTGTAAGTGACCAAGGAAACTCATACATGCCAGGCCATTTTACCTGTGGTTTTGGGTTTCGTTGCAGCACTAGTGGCAGCTGTGGCAGGTCTCTTACTCAGACTGGTGGCTGTGCTGGCACCCAGTCCTGTCTTTGTTCCACTGGCTGTGGTGGTTGTTGTTGATTTGTTTGTTCCAGCAGTTGTTGCTTTAGGTTGGGCCCTTGAGGTTGCAACGGCAGTAGAAGAGCCAACGGGTTTCTTACTTGGACCAGAAAATCCAACGGTAGTGGTGGGTTTCTTCTTGTCTGCTGCCGCAGTGCTAGCTGGAATGGGTTTCTTGGTTGGGGCACTCAATGCAGTCTTTGTGAGGCCATTAGCCACACGACTTTGGGTTGCTTTGGGTCGCGTGCCTGGTCCAGTGGTAGCTGGACCTGCAGCAATCTTGCCTTTGACTGGGCCTTCGGATTTGCTTTTAGCATCTACTGCTTTGCCAGAAGCTTCTTTAACAGTTGGAGGAGCCACTTGCTCATTTTGGGGTTCATCAGGTTGTGGGGGTGATGGTGTAGTCCCATTTTGAGACGCCCCGTCATTGCTGGTTGGTTCTGTTATGGCTTCTGTTCCTTCAGCTTCCATTGGTTCAGATGGTGCTGTGGCCACCCCATCAGGTTTCATCGCCAATATTACCCGACAATCAGTTGCTGCTTGATATGCTCGCTGGATTCAGTGCTGCTCACACACACTGAACCCAGGGATGATGGATGCGTTCGCCAACTCAATAACTGCCCTGTAAAAAAAAACAAAAAAAAAAACACTTTAGACAATGAAATGCTATTTGCAGTGACTTTTTTGGCTGTACGCACCTGAAGCAACTTGATTATTACTCAGTTGGAGTGCAAAAGTTGCTTCTCGTACAAACACATACATACAATCAGTTTGGCAGAGAAATGCTTTTGCGGTGTAATAGATTTGAAGAATTGTAAGTAACCATGGAACTGAAAGAGAGTTTAGAAGTAAAACATTCTCCTGCAAGAGGAAGCAACATTTTTTAAAGGGAACCATTCCTATGAAGGGCAACTTGGAAAAATACAGGAAATGATACATTATGAAAGAACCAAAATACAAACAGATCAAGTCCAGGTCGAACATCCTACATAACAAGTCCTTGTCATCTTTCAGTTGTTTACATCTGGAATGGACTACACTGTAAAAATTGTCCTGTTAAATTTATGAAAACAAACAAAAAAAAAAAACTAAAAATACAGTGACTGTTTCAGGTATTACAGAATGGAATACTGGTACCTGTATATTTTACGACTCGTAACATTTTATTTCATTATGTGATATAGCTAGGTAACTTTACAATTAACAGTTTTTACTGTGGCATTTTAGTTTTTCTGTTCTGTAAAAATTACTAACATTTACACTGTAAGTTTGATAGTAATGCGGAAAAGTGTTTCTGTAAGTATTTTGAGTGGGTCTCCAAGACATTAGTCTGAATTGAACACGAGGCTGCATAAAAATCTAAATGTTAAGATGATTTATGGATTTGATTCATTTATGTGGATCATTTACACAGAACAGTCACCACCACCTGCTCTACAGAAATAGGATGCCATTATCTGGACCTCACCTACCTGTTCATACAGACAAGTAATTTCCTGTCTGTCAAGTGTAAACTGAGATGGCATCATTATCACCACTGTATATAATGTCCCAGTATACATCTTCAAAATTCAAATCCACAACTTTGACTCATAAATATAGCCAAATCAAAATCTGGCAGAATTCTAAAAGAAAGTCAGTATACCCATTTCACTGGAGCACTGCTCTACGCAAGCCATTTTCTTCCTTCAGGGACTGACACAAAAGCTCGTCAGCAAAAAGATTGTGGCATGGGATTTGAAGAAAGGAGGATAAAGAGTCAACGTAATGGAGAGGGGGGCCATGAACCCATTCACCCCGTCCTTTTTACAAACTCTTTTATTCAGAATCCTCTCGTCTTTCTCTCCCCCCCTTAAACAGTTCTCCTTAGCCACAACCCCCCCTCTTTCTTCTACTCTCCTTCCCCTCCTCCTCTCCATCAGATCCGTTCCCTGTCTGCAGCCACACAGATGGCCCTAGCAGCTGAGCTATTGTTCTTGCTCTCCAATAAGCCCAAGCCACCAAACCAGAGAGCAAATAAAGACAGAGAAAGGGGAAAATCATGGGATGAAGTAACAATGACAAGGCAAGCAGAGAAATCTAATTTTAATGTGGCACCATCCAGAAGATGAGTGGACTCAAGTATGTGTGACAGAATCAAGAAGAGGAAAACAAACAACCAAACTGTGAATAAAAATGACAAAAGCCCCCCAGAAATATTCCTCAGGAGACAGAAAACAAAGAGAGAGAATGCATGACACGTGTTCTAGAAAACTTGTCACCCTACAGGCCAAGATGATGAATTGGGAGGTCATCGTTCTGCCCACGACAGGACAAAAATTACCCAGCAGCCCTGCTGCTGTGTCTCCATGGTGATGTGAAGATCAAAAAGGGGACTTTGAAAAAAGGATCCAACTTAGTCAGAAGACACAAAGTTTCAGTCAAATAAAAAAATAATTCACAGCACAGATCCTTAGAAAACAAGAAAATAAGTTTATACTTTAAAAAGTAGTATTTTTATATTACTACTTTATTAATTTTATATCCACATTTCAGACGGTTTCCCATAAATATCACTTCATTAGTCACTCTTTTTCCAGTAGGTCAAACACGAGCAAAGTGTGCATTTTGGATACAATTTTATTCTTATATTTTCAATTTTCAAGTTTTAGTAATTTTGTTGTCATTTTTATTATGTGTTTTATATGTCTATATAGTGTTTATTCATTTTTACTTCAGTTTTAGTTTTAATTTTAATATATCAAGTTAAACTAAAAGAAAAAGAGAAATGTTGCCTTTGCAACTAGCTCAAATAATTATTTTTTTTTTTTTCAGTTAACGTATTTATTTTCTTTTAAGAAATGAAAAAAAAAAAGCTTTCATTTGTAGTTTCAATCAACTATAACCCTGGTATGCATAAGAGATAAGTATAAGGACAAACTAACAAAACAATAAGGGGAGGGTAAGAAAGAATAAGATGTGCTATAATGATTGTGTATGAAGTGGTAGGGTGGGTTGTTGTGTGCGCGTGTCCTCATTTGACTGGATGAAGCCGTTGTGAGTGTTCACAAAGACAGCGGAAAAGGGTAAAGCCTGCTAATGTAAACAGCTTAATCAAAAAGCACTGGAGATTACGTCACATCTCCATTTCACTCACTACACTTCAAATAACTAAACCGGCTTCTTTCAGCAAATCTAAAAGCAAAAGCACTTGTGAGAACATTCAGGTGCTCATGAAAAAAAACCTGCTTTATCATCCAAACCAAAGCTGTTAAAAACAGAGGTTCCTAAAGAGGGGTTTTGCAGTGATGCCATAAAAGAACCATTTATTTTTAGTCTGAAGAACATTTTAGTAAACTGAATAACCTTATTCTACTATCAATGACCTTTTGTGGACTGGAAAAGTTCCATGAATGTTAAAGATTCTTTATGGAACCACAAATGCCAATAAAGAGCCTTTATTTTTAAAGAGAGCAGATAACATGGCCTTTCCAGTTCAACATTGCTGCTACTGAATTTCAGACTGTGTGAACCGATTCATCCAATTTATCAAAAAGAACTGACTCGAAACAATTTGCTTACAAATAAGAAATTACCATGGCTTTTGAGCAAGCAGTATCTTATGATATCGTAATGCTTTCAGATGGAGCAGAATTTACTACACATAGCCGTAGTTCACCGACGAGTTACGCAAAAAAAAACAAACATTTGCAGACGATTTTATTGCGCGATTATGAAATCGAAGAAATCATTCGCGATAATGACAGCTGTTTGCATAGCTTCTCAGTGAACTACGGCTCTGTGAAATAAATGCTGCTCCATCTGAAAGCATGTGAAAATACCACATTTAATAAAAGTTTTACTCCAAACTCACTTAATAATATCAGTCGAGTGTTTGAAATAAATCCTTCTGAGATGATGTGGCTTCTTACACAGAATAAGGCACACAACATATTTCATAGTATTTAAGCAGTGATAAAGGCACTGCATTATTAATATACTTTATTTTAATGAAAATTATAATAATAAGAACTCAGATAAACTGTATATTACCGTAGTTGTGTGTTTATTAGTCACGTTGAATCAATGAAAGCAGTTGAATCTTCTGTTTATTCAGCTGCAGCGATAGGCATTTTCTGGGTTTCTTCTGCGAGGCGTATTTGGAGTTTCAGCGCGAGAGCGGCCTCTGGCCTTTGGATGGAGATTTACTGCTGATCACAGAACCGTGCTTCTGTCGAATCGCAATCTCGATTCCATTTCGATTTATCGTGCAGCCCTAATATTCACTATTAAAATTTCCATGACTTTAACACAATTTTAAAATTTCCTGATATTTCTAGGTTTTCAATGAAAGTAGGAACCCCCTTCTGCCTCTCCACAACCTCTTCCCCATCTTGTCCAATATCTTAATCCACCATTTGTTTGGATTAGGGAATTTACATGTATAGACAGAGGATTATAAAGGTGCCATGAGGACATTTTAAAACACGCGTGTGCTTTCCTAATCCCAAACCCTATATTAAACCTCGGGACTTATCAAATCTAAAATAAAACCTTTATAAAGCTGCTTTCCACACAGGGACGTCCTTAAAGTGTGTCTGTCATGTTTCACTTACTGTAGTAGCTTGATTGACTGTGTTGTGACGGCTTCCCACTAAGCACTTCAGAAACATCTGCAGATGACAGCTAGCAACATACACTGGCACTAAGCAAATGCCACATTCAGTTTCCAGAGAACTTCTGCATGAGAGATACTGATAAAGCTAAAAGGAACAAATAAAGAGGTCTTGCAAACACAAATTCCTGCACAGGGCCTCCAGTTCCTCAGGGCCGAGCCATAACCACCTTGTCACAGACAGACATGCAGCTATTTCCATGCAGCTGTAGTTGGCCACATCCTGCATTCTTGTAATAAGAGCCAGTAGCAGGCCTACGTCTATCAAACATGCCCTTATTCTAATCGACTGGCTATAATTTGTAGTTTTACATGAAATGTATAATCTGCAACTTTAACCTGACGATAACAGGAAAATAATTGCAATCGGATGAGAGATGGATTACCAAAACAGACTTCACCAGAGAGGTAAAAAAAAATATAAGACAGAAACACTCTCCTCATGCAGTCTGCCCATACAAGGCAGTGCTCTCACAACTCTACTACTGGCACACAGACTCCTAAGAATCAACACATGAAAACATTGAAAGAGCGCAAGCAACATACCCCTCGTATTCCCTCTCTTTTACTCCCTCCACATTACAGTCAATTATTCATCTGACTCCCACATCGACTCCATGAGGCAGTTCTCACTAAGATTAAAATGCTGTAATGTGCATAAAGCTATTGTTTAAGGTTTATTATTCTTTGTGCATTTTTAATTTGTCAGGTCTAATCATGTCTAAAGTTTGCATTGTTTTCATAACATGATATGAATTTACTATCACTTTTGATCAATTTAGTGCATCCCTTTTGAATAAAAGTATTATTTTTCCTAAATAATAAATAATAATAATAATAATAATAATCTTACTGACCCCAAGGTTTTAAACAGTACACGAGAACATGCAAATAATTAAATATAGCCTAATGGCAGTTTATTATAAAAAAGTATTTTGAATAAATTAAATTCAAAACATCATCAGAAATCAATGCTGTGCTTACATAAATCTGCTTCTCAAGTTGATGATTCAGTGTTCAGCATTTGCACACTTGAAACCAACCTGTGAAATTTGCATGGACATCAGTCTGTGTGTTCACTTTTTACTTTCACTCTTCCCATATAGAGAACAACAGCCAGTAATAACTAGGGTAAAACGTTTTCAGTATTAATGTCGAAGGATGTGCAGAATATGGCAGATTTTCCAAAACCACCACAGAAAAATGTGGAGAAAAAAAAGCTTCTGTCTTCGCCTGCATATCAGTTACATTCAGAATAAAATGGAACATGCTGTGTGTAGTGCTGGAAAACCCAGATTACCATCTTTCTCCCTGAGTAACATCTCGACATGTTTGAGCACACCACATTCCTTAAAACGGACAAGAGACAGGAAGTCGCAACATTCATAT